GAACACATTTTTCCTTCTGCAATGAGCATGGACAAAAAGTGCCTCCATAAAGCAGTGGATCAAACCCCCTTGTAGAGATTAGTGAGGAAAGTGCAATGCCCGGAAATGACAGGAGGAACTGAAATGAGAAGTGCGGGGTTTTTTGCAATTCGGCTGTATTGCATCGCCATCTCGTGGTTGTGTGCTGGAGCAGGTGCAGAAGCGGAGAAAGGGGATTAAAAGCCGAGATGGGGGGGAGTTGACCTGCAAAGAATCCAAAAGCAGAAGCCACCCTAAAGTGGTGGGTTAAAAAGCTCAGGTGGAGTGACTCAGTGGATTCACTCCGAATACTGGTAGCCGCTCTTGAGCGTTTGGGAGTAGCATCTTTCCCAGCTCTTTATGGAGGTGTTGAGGATTCGTTGTGGGACCATCCTCATGCAGAGCAGGTGTGTCCACTCTGATGTGCAGCCCTCCCTTGCTCTCGAGGAGCAACATTGGGATTCAGGGAGGGGGTTCCTTCACAGCCCTGCTTGCGGATTCTGGCTAGGGTTTAGCTACCGCATGAAAGATTGCTACAAATCAAGAAATCTTTGCTCTGGTTTGGCAGTGTTCTTGGGACTGGAGGCGAGCGAATGGTTTTGGGGGACTTTGTTTCAGCCAGGCAGGGGTGAGGTGTCCCAGTCCGTGCTCAAGTTAAATGGCACCCAGGGCTACACCTGCAGTGTAGCCAGCACAGAAAGCACAGAGCTGGAAGCAGCTAGTCCTCCTTGCAGATTCCTTTCTTGTGTTCCCTTGGCCCAGTTTCTCGACGAATGTGCCACATGTGAGGCCACATGCAAAGGCTTCCCAGGGCTGGGCAGTGAAGTGGTGCGATTCAAAAAGGCATTGGGAACTTGGAGTACCGGTTTGCTCACACGGCCCCCCGCTTTGGCTGCCTTGAGAGCACGCTCATCCTGGCAGTGGTTATCCCCGGGGGGAGCACGTGGCTCATGAGCCACGGCTGAGGATTGTCTAGCTCAGCACCTGAGTGGGAAGGTTGCCATTATCGTTGGGCGGGTGGAACTGACAGTGCTGAGAAGCCAGAGCAGGGTTGGAAAGGGCGCTCATTTTGGCAAGCTGAGCCGTGGTCCCAGAAGCCTTTGTGGCTGCCTTGCAAAAGAGTAGCGGCCGGCCTGTTCCACAGGGCTTGCAGCCGTGGCAGTTGCCAGAGGGGTGAGGGGGGGTTCTTGGGAGGGCAGGACACCCCCGACCCCTGGCAGTGGCCCACCCGCTTCAGAGCCTTCGGGCCAGACCCGTAAACTGGAAGGACCGGACCAGGCCTCATGCTTGTTATGGCATTGCTATACCTGCTCCCTGCGGTGCAAGCGGTGATTCAGAAAGCAAGGATGCGCCGTGCGGGTGGATTCTCTCTCCCTCTCTCATTCACTTTTTACAAGCTCAACCGCTTTGTCTCATGCAGGATCAGACCGAATGTCTGTATCATGGCAGCCAATCAGTCGCTCCACTGGAAAGCCAACAACCTGGGCAGGAGAGCAATTCGCCTCTTCTGATGCGGTTCCCAGTCTCTGGTATCGCATGGGGCCGTCATGTCTAGCCGCTGCCGACAGCCTTCGGCCTGCCTGTCTTACCCTTGTTCAGACAGGAAAGAAACACCACAAGTCCCGTCACGACAGCACCTTGCAGGCCTTTCACACTTAGGGCTACACGCATATCCTCCGTCTCCCCAGACCAGGTGTGGGTACAGCAGCTCCCACGGCCAACTGGATGGAAGGGTTTGCGGCCTGCCTTCGACGTTTAGTAACAGGGAGGAAGCAAAGTGGGGAGGAATGCCAACAATTCTTGCCATAACCCTGGGAAAAGTTGGGTTTCCCCCCTCTGTGGTGGAGGTTCCCATAATTCTGCAATTTTTAATTAGCATTAGCTCTCTGTAGCAAACATACTATGCAACTGTGATTCTGACTCCAGCTGGGTGGCATTAATGCCAGTTGTCCCTGAGCATTGGCTATGTCGGCTGGAGGTGATGGGCATCGGACTCCAGCATCACCTGGAAAGTTGGCCGGTCCCTGTCCTTGCTCCACCGAGGCCGGCAGTAGCTCATCCCAGTTGAGAGCAGATGTCTTCTCAGGCCCTGCTGCTGGACATCCGATTCTAACTGGAGCAGCTCCATTTCGGCAGGCGGAAACCTCAGAGAGCTGTGAGGGTGTGTTGTCGACCCCTGTTCCAGGCTGGAATGTCTCACACCGACGCACATGCCCGGCCGTGCTCCCACAGGGACGTGTAGCCCCCGTCTTCCATGCACCTGCGCCACCACCATTCCCGCGACCCTGCTGGGTTGCGCACGCATTGAACTCCCCAGTGGCTCCAGGCCTCCTTGGTGCAGTGGCAGGGAAAATAGCAAGGCAGAGAGGAAGGAAGGCCTGTTGAATCATAAGGCTCGTGCCTCCTTCCAGCTGGCCAGGGCTTTTCCCCAGCCCTAAGCACGGCCACTCCGCTTGGGCGTCTCCCCAGCCCTGGGCACTTTGGGGAGCAGGATGGAAAAGACCCTTTGTTAAGAGCAGAGCGCGGTGGTTTCGTGCTGCCCTCTACTGGCCCTCAGAGCCCAGTGCAGCTCTGGGTACTGGTCTTGGTGCTCGGAGGGCTCCATCCAGAACAGGTCAGAGAGCTCTGAGTTGTACCTGTGGCTGTCGGGAGAGAGAGGAGGTGTCCATGCTCCCTTCTTGGCTTTGCTGTGGCACCTCCTTGGGATCGGACATACAGCTTGGGTCCCTCGTTGCCACTTAAAGGGCCAGTACCTTGATCCCGACTGTCTGCACAGATTAGCCTACCTCGGAGGAGCAGTGTGTGATTTTTTTACACTAAGCCCTCTCGAATCCATGGCCCCCACTCACATTTAATAAATCAGAGCAGAATAAAAATCAGGGTTGTCTGGCTGGGGTGAGAGGTGCTTTCTTGGAGATCTTCTGAAAAACAAGTGGAACAGGTTGGCCAGTCCATGTCATCCATTCAGGATGCTTCCAGGCACATGAAAGAGCAGTGCAGGGAGCGGGGGGGGGGGTGGTTATGCAGCCCCCACGTGGCGGCCAGGGGTCCAAATGGTGGTTCCATGTGACCACAAGCCTGTGACCACCTGGAAGCCCCCACTTTTCTCCTGGTGATCACACAGGGTCCTTGGAGGGATCCAGACAGAGCCTAAAATGTATGCCTTTGGTCTCCTGGTTTACTCTAAAGGAAATCAGATTAATGACATGATTGTGTGTACATCTTTGTGCGCTACACCTGCTTGCATTGAACGAAGCGGATCCTGGCCCCGAAGCTCCTATAACAATAAACTAAGGCAGAATCCAACACACGTTTAGACCGAAGAAAGGGCCCACAACTCCCAGCGTCCCCCAGCCAGCAGCCTGTCTCAACATGCAAAGGGCGTTTTCTGCAGGATTGCACCTTTAGGGTACAGTCCTGTGCCCCTGCTTCAGATTCGCATGTGCCTCCAACCTCAGAGCCTTCCGTGCATCCAGCGCACAGAGCGGGGGTCCGCAGTGGGGACTTGCCCCTCCGGCCCCCTGCACGGTGTCCTTCATCCAGCCAGCGGCTCCTGGCCATCGTGTAGCACTGAGCAGGGAGGCTGAAGTGCCGGTAGGAAGAGCGCTCTGGGCTCCTTCCCTCCCCAGCCTGGCAGCCCCTTTTCCTCCCTCTTTAAAGCACTGGCCCAGTGCAGCCCCTTCTCTGCTAGCTGGGAAAGCGGTGGGTCGGGCCTTGGCCCCTGGAGTCCTAGCTCTGTCTTGTCTCCCAGACAAGACTGAGTCCATTTAAAGGTATATTATGTTTTAGATATCCATTCTGTGTTTAGAATACAGACATGAAGCCAAGCCTTAGTTTTTCTTTCAGGTCCTACCAGGTTCTTTCCTGCTTTTGCTGCAACCAACTAATTGAGGGTGTTCTTGAGACTGCAGAGAGTTGGGGGGGGGTCCCTCACTTACCCACCCCTGCCACAGACTTTTGATTTCCAAGGTATGTTGGCAGGTGCTGTGGAATTTGCACCAGCCTAAATTTGTCCATTCTGCATGTCCTTCAGATTCAAGGTAGCATATTTCCGCTTGGACTGGATCCGGAAGTATTAGTTCCTTGGAGTTGGGAATCTCCAAGAGAATTGCTTGTGGGACATCATTCCAGGGCCAAAGACAAGAGGGGACAGGGCCAAAATCCAAACTGATTGGTGCTTTAAGCCCTTCCTGCCAGAATTGGTTCTAGGAGAAGCATTTCATCCTTAACACAGCGGGTGAGACACCCAGTCAACTAGGAAACCATCAAAGGCTGTTACTTCGGGGAGAGGAGTGTGGCTCAGGAAAGGGGCCATGGCCAGCCGGAAAACACCAAAGCCATGTTGGTCCTGGGCAGCACTGGGGTTCCCTCTGCAGACAAGGCACTGAGCTGTGATTTGCAGTAGCTAACTTGATTTATGCCAAAAAAAGATACAAACGTGCCGGCTTTGCTTCAGACAGAACAGCAGGCTGGGTTTCAAACTGTGGCTGTGAAAGAGACAGGCTGTGTTAGCAACGGCACTGGCTAACTTCTGCAAGGAAAGCAGCCCAGTGAAAGAAAGCTGGTTCCAGCCAAAGGGGAAGTTCAGACCAGCAGCCTCAACACTTTCACCAATGTGCTGCATTAGCACAGCCTTCCCTGGGCTGCTTAAACCTGGGAGGTGATGCCTCCCACCCTTCTCTTCCCGCTTTGACGTCTTCCTTTCCGCTGTGTCCGAAAGGCTTCCCAGCTGGCTGACGGCATCTGCTAGCCCTGAAGACTCGGTCCTCTCTTTCCCTTCCTCACCTGAGTGAGAATTAAATCCCACATCCAGAGATCCGTCTGCAGAGGTGCTTGGCTCGCCCCTTGCATGCGCGGGGGCGCGGTCTGGCCCACGGGCCAGAGGTCAGACCTCCTAGGTTGCATGTGCTTTCCAGTGCTGTGTCCAGCAAGGCAGTGCTGAGCAGATAATGACTGAAGACTGTTAATTCTCCCATTTGCAGGCAAGACAAGCTGAAGATCCACATGCGCAAGCACACCGGCGAGCGGCCGTACCTTTGCATCCACTGCAACGCCAAGTTCGTCCACAACTATGACCTGAAAAACCACATGCGCATCCACACCGGCATCCGTCCGTACCAGTGCAAGTTCTGCTACAAGAGCTTCACCCGTTCGGACCACCTGCACCGCCACATCAAGCGCCAGAGCTGCCGCATCTCCCGGCCCAGGAGGGGGCGCAAGCCGGCCACCTGGCGAGCGGCGAGCTTACTGTTTGCGCCCAACAGCCAGCCGGATGACAAGAGCTTCATGGTGCCCCCGGTGCTAGACGACGTGAGCGGCCACCTCAGCGGTTCAGCCATGTGCCTTCCCGGCCCCAGCCCAAAGCATTTTATGGATGGGGCCAAGAACACCCTGAGCTTGCAGGAGCTGGAGAGCCAGTTTGAGGAGACCCAGATGAAACTCTTTGGGAGGACGCACCTGGACGTGGAGCGGAACGGCAGTCTCTTTGCCTTTGCGCTGGGCCACAATGACAGAATCTCGGCACGTCCGTATTTCTCCCTCCCTGACCCCTGGAGCTCGGGCTTCAGTGGACTGACGGGACTCAACCCCCTTGGCCCCATTTCTGAGGCTAGCAACTGAGGCGCCCCTCTTTCCAAGGGATACTTTCGGTAGGTGCGCTGCCATATTTTCCAGGGCCGGGCCTAGCTTGCGGTCCGGCGAAGTGGCCTCTTCAGGCAGCGGGTGGGGGGTGCCACAAAACGCTGTCGGTTTTCTTTCCTTAGCACAGTGGGCTGCACCAGCTGGCCAAATTGACCTGGGCCAGTTACCAGGCAAAGGGAGCACCCCGTTCCCTCCCTTCTCCCCTTGGCTTTCCCTTTCCTGGTTTTTTTCCCCACGTGGTGGGTTGTGCCAAAATAAGGATGCACACTTGGGAAGCGGGCAGTGTTGTCTAGTGTCCCGCAGGCTTGTGGGGCAAAGGGGAAGTCACCACAATCAGATCCAAGCATCCGCCATAAGCAGGTCCTTCTCCATCTGCTTTGCTCTCCATCTTCCTCTCCTGCAGTAGCCCTAAGGATGCTTAAGCAGTGCACTAAAAGTATTTGGATCTGATCCCGGGGACACACTGAAGTTCTTTCAAGCTCCCAGTGGCCAAAATACCCAAAATAGCCTTTTTGGAATTAGGACTGGGCCAGGTTCTGCACCCCATGCCAAAGCATTTCTTTGTCGTCCAGTTCTCCATGATAGCATGTTATACAAAAGGGAACCTGGGGCATTCAAATTAACTGCAACATCAGGAGTTCAAAACAGAGGATTTTTTTTTTAAATTGTTTTGGAAGGGGTGTCTGGTGCATGAAACAACAGCAACACAAAATTACTCCTTGGAATCCACGTTCCTCTGTTCCACAGCATCAACCCATTGTGCAGAAGGGGCAAAGTGAGGCAAGCAAGTTCACCCGGTCTGTAGAGGGCTTTTGGCAGCTGCTTTGAATGCCATTAGGGGAATACAGAGAGCTTTAGCTACTGGGGGATATAGAAATAAAATTAATAAATCCGTTGGGATTTGTTGAAGCAATGCCTCCCATTGCAGACGGGGGAAATCTGGGCTCAAAGCTGAAGAATTAGTTTGGAGTTTTGTAAGGTTTTCTTTAAAAAAAGAAAAAAGAAAAGTACATCCCTGCTTTGTTTCTTTTCCTTCTCCTTGGGTGCAAGTTTCCATCCTATAACAGTGAAAGAAAGTGGTTCTTTTTCCATCCACAGGCCTTCTTCAGCACTTCTGTGGTTCCCTTGGGCAAATCAAGGACTCTTTTTCTTACTGAAAGACTGTTGAAAATGAGAACAGCCCCTGCAAATTGCTCAGTCCTGTTGAGATCCAACATAAAGCATCTCTTCTTTGCACCAAACAAATACGGGGAAGAAAAGCAGAACTTTAGAAGAAAACCACCAGACTTTTATGTGTTTTTTTTAAATTGTACATACACCTTTCTGATCTACTGTTTTTCAGATGACAGTTTCCTTCAGGTTTTTTTTGGGGGGGTGTTTTGTTTCTGGGTTTTTGGTTCACGATTTGGAGTCCTTGTAAAATATCCAAAGATTCTGAGTACTGTATAATCGACAAGAACTTGAAGCAAAGCGGACTTTTTGTTGTGTTTCATTGTCAAAATGGGATGTGGTAGGGAGGGTGGGAAATCCTTCAGAATTTTTCTATTTATAACTATTTTTATGTGATTGCTTTATGTAAAGAAACAAAGAGAGAGAGATACCACATAAAACAGATTTGCCTTAGATAATCAAGGGACAATCATCCTTAACTTTTGTCAAAGTTCTAGATTTTTGTTTTTAAAAGAGAAAAGAAAAGTTGCATTAATGTATTTATTAACCAGTACTGATTTTATTAAATTATTGGCAACATGCAGGATTTTTTAATGCACATTAGTAAAATATTGGGAAGGTAGAAGGTGTTTCACAGAAACCTGTGAACTGTGAACAGCAGGGATGTGTGTTATAAGTATATTTGTTACATTCACTCAGTTTACTGTTTGGAAAGCACCTAGAACATCTTCAGTGTACACCGAAGAAAGGTAATGTGTGAAGTGGCACTAAGATCTTTCAAAAATTTCAGACCATTTAAATCCACACGTGGTGATCAGTGTCCTTTTGCGTTGATTGAGGGGACCCCAAATTGGGACACTTATAGAGGCCTCTTAAACGTGACTTTGCACCTTATTAGACTCTTATTGTGAAAGGGAACAATGGATGCTGATTGTGTTGCTGTTGTTAAGGAGTTAAGGTTGATTGCCCCTGGATGATCTCATTTGGGTTCTGCTTGTGGCTGGCTTCATATTCTGGTGGAAGGAACATTACAGACTTTAATGCTCTTGCAGTTTCTTGATATTTCAATGTAATGCAATAGTGTTGCATCACCGATGTTGTGTAATTACAGCCGCCTCTCTGGGGAGAGGGGATCCCCCATTTCGAGCTGGCCTGTCCAAGGCTGGAGGACTTCGGTGCTCAAACAGCTGTTCATGGCACTGGGCAGCTGGATTCCTGCAGAATTCTGCTCTCATGTCTTTTCCCTTGGTTATTTTTAAGCGCACGTTGCTAGTCACTAGAATTGCACAGGCACATTTGAATCCGGGCAGTGTGGAAAGCCATTAATGGGATCCCACGAGTTCTAGCCGCTGTGGGTGCTGTGAAGGGTACTGAGCACTGCGCCCCCTTTCCCTGCTGTTCATGGGGACTCCTCCTTCCATTCAGGGTGGTGATTCGATTCTGCACACACAAAGCCATTGTTGTGAGGAGCTGCCCGTGCCGCAGACAGAGAAGCCCTTACAAGCATCAGCACCTCAACGGCAGGTGTGTCTTGGGCTTACACACACGGAGGTGCTTGGGGGACGGAGCTGTTGTAAAGCGGACCTTCAGGATTCCACTGCAAGGAAAGTACCCTCTCACAGCTGACCAGAGGATTCTGTGGGCAAGGTGGGCAACCTGGAGCCTTCCAGATGCCCTGACCTGCAGCTCCCAGCTCCCCACGTTTGGCTTTCCCTGCTGCAGGTATCCGTGTGCCTTCCCTCTCTTCCCACCTGAAGGCTACAAACCTCACCTGGGTCAAAGTTCAGCTGCGGTTAGTGGGGCTTATATCTGAGCAGATGTGTCTAGGATTGCACTGTCAGAGGGTAATATCTGAACTCGGCTCTTTCATCTTTTTTCCTTTGAGGAATGCTGTTACTGAAACTAAGCAAACAAAAAATTGGCAGGCAGATCGGAGCCACCGAAATCCGTGGACCTCAGAAACAAACGGTGCTGGATCGGATCGTGGACCTTGCTCGGTGCAGCTTCTTCCCTCGCTTCCTTTTTTTCTCAATCAGGTTAGCTCACCTGGAGCTGCATCTGTCTGTCTTTCCACCCATCCATCCTTGACTTTGAATCTCATCTTCAGCTACTATTTTAGCCCTGGGCAAACAAACAAAGCAAACAGATTTAAAAAGGGGGGGGGGGACCCATGGTGCAAATATCTGCTATGGCAAACTGAGCAGTGGAGTTGCTGCAGAAGTCAGGCTCCTACTGATTTTTCGATTGTTTCTGAGCACAGAACGAAAGAAAGAAAGAAGTGTCTTTTCTTCCTCCTTCCAGTCCTCTTTACATCTTTCTGAATACAGCTAATGATCTCTTAATGAGTTCCTTGGGTTGGGCGCAGATTTCCTCAAGCTTAAAGGAGATCCAGTAAGTCAGCCATGGCTAACTTTGGTTTCATTTGTTTCCAAGGTCCACTTTAAATAAGATGAAAGGTGCAAACCTATGAAAGTTTAGACAGAAAACAGACCTACGGCTCCCAACTTAGGATTGAAACTGCAACCGGGAACATGCACGGTGATTTTTCCGAGGCATCCAGCTTTTCCAAGGAGACTTGCTTCGAATCAAGGCTACTGCTCGGTATCATGCAGAGTCCAAGGGGCCACAATCCATCCTAATTAAGCATGGTTACGCCTGCTAAAAACAAGGCTAACGGTAGTCATGTGGATCAGGACTTGACACCTGAGCATGGCCCAGTTTGCAGCTGATGACTCTGTCTGTGCTTGGGGTGCTGCAGAAAGCCCCAATTCGGTGATTTGCCACTGAGCTCCAGGTTTTCATGCCCAGGCAAAGAGTTCCTTTTCCAAGGCTTTGCCAAAAAAAGTAAGAGCTGGAGTTAGGGGCCTCCCTCTAGGGCTGAAGCTCCGAATCCCTGGGAGAGCATCTGCCCCACTGCACTGCTGCCATCGGTGGTGTTGGGAGCCAGCCGCTGAAGCTTTCCTTTGCAGCCCCAAATCTCCAGGACGCATCTGCTCAGCACCCTGCTATCCTTGGGCTCTTGCGGAAATAAAGGGTCGGGGACCCTGATGGTGCTTTGCATCTGATCCCCCTGGATGGTGGTTTTTCAGCCGCGTGATTCGCCTGCTGCTACCCTAAGCCCCCAATATTTTTACCTGGATTTTCTTCTTAAATCAAATGCCCTCTTGCTTGCCCTTGTTCATATACCCTTTTTTACAAATAGGGAGACCATAAAGGGGTCTTTGAAAGATAGGCACAGAGAGACTTTAGACCAGATGTGAATTAGAGAGAGAGAGAGATGGTTCTGTGGGCTTGAGCTCCATATCTCTTTGGCACTTAAGCACCATGCCTGGAATTCTTTCTAATTACTGCTTTCTGCCTCCAGAGCAGATCCCTTTGTAGCAAACCAACCTGTTTCCCCACCATCCTGCCTTAAGTAGGTGGAAGACAGTAATATTTGGCTGATCTTTGCAAGGTGCAAGCATGACAGAGTGATGGATGATCTGTAGGCATGGGTATGTGAGGACTCCTTTGGGGACAAAAATAAGGCCATGTCTAGAAAGCAGCCTCATCAAAATCTCCACTTTCATTTTAAAAACATGTTGCTGGGGTTCAGGGCAGCAAAGGGAACACGGGAGCATCTTGTGGGCAATGCCTGCTGAAATCTCAGAACCAGAAGAAGGTCGAAATCACATTTCCTGCAGGGCGTGTCTCCACTGCCCAACACAACACTTCACCATTTCCTGTGACTAATAAAATCCAACGGCATGCCTGGGGGAGGAGGAATCCTGCAGAACATACTGTACAAAATTTGAGAAACTACACAGTGTTGCATATTCTAGCACAATTGATGCAGGCAACAGAGTCCAGGTTTTCTTGGAGAAGGATTTGGATTGCTTGGGAACTGAATGTACTTGGGTATAGGGTATACTCAACTTGGGCTAGGGTTCTCATATTAGTAGTGCGACCTGGCTTTCACAACCACATCGTTCAGTTCGCTTACAATTTTCAAAGCAAGGTTCTAGTCTTTATGGCTGTGTAGAACTCACAATGCATCCACGAAGACTAGACATGTGACTTCCCGCATTTCCAGCAAGCTCCAAATAGGGGGCAGTGGCAGGTATTCCACAAAGGTAATGAATGACTTTGTGATTGGTCAAGCAAGTGTTCTGTGCAGGTGTTTGAAGATGCTCACCTGAAGAAGGAGGTTGCACGAACATCTCTGAACGGTGTCATGAACTGTCCATGTTAAGCACACAATTTACTTGCACTAATTGCTTGGAGCAGCATGTCACCAAACTCCCTTTCTTCGATTTTTGTGGGGCAGGAAGGAATTTTCCATTTCTGTGGAAATGGAACAGGGGACTCTGCCCTGGTCCTTCCCTGAGTCAGCTTTTAAAGACTCCCAACACACATCAGCATCAAATGTTGGACTGCCCAGATCTGCCCCCAAAAGCCAGGAGACCATCAAACTTCAGGGGGGAAAGGCAAGGGGGCAAAGCTATGCAGATTGGGTGCCTGCACCTGTGGTGCTCCACCTGTGCTCTAACCACTGGATCACACCACCTCTACCTTCCATGGCTGTTTTGCCCTCCTTCTGTCACCTCTGTGTGTGTCCTCAATGCAGCGCTGAAAACTGGGCAGCAAAAAATACTGAAGAGCCCACAATGGGGAGGGTGAAGCCCCAGACTGATGGGACATGTACTCATGTCATTGCAATCATATGTAATTTACATGGAATGAAATCCAAATTAATACCTAATAGGCAGCCTAATGATCCAACACAGAATTACATGCACACAATTTTGGAATAAAGGCACACATTTCTAAACCCCTATATCCATAACAGAGCACTTCTGTGCATGTCCAGAGAGAAAAAATAGGCTACACCTCCCATCATCCCCAGGCCAGCCTAACGGGGTCTTTTTTTCTGCAGGTCTTTTTTTCTGTCTAAATTCCCTAAGATGGCGCCCTTGGTATGCATTTTTGGGGAAAGCGCGCATTAATGCAGAAAGCAGCTCCGAGCCCCACGTTCCTAACGGTGCAAAACACGGCATCTGTTTGGTCCCCAGAGCCTCCAGATAAAGGATCCAGTA